CTCCGCGGGCGCGCAAGGGGCCTGCGCGGGAAGTCGGGGCCTCAGTGGCAGCGAGCCGAGGCCTCCACGGGCAAGCTCGCGGCCTCTGCGAGCTGCGTCGGGGGCCTCAGTGGGCAGCGCGCGCGCTGGAGCCTCTGCAGGCTGGGGCCTCTGCGGGCACGCTCGGTGCCTTTGTGGCCTGTGCCAGGGGGCCTCAGTGGGCAGCGCGCGGGGGCCTCCGTGGGCGCGCTCGGGGCCTCTGTGGGCCGGGGCCTCTGTGGGCGCGCGCGGAGCCTTTGCGGACGGGGGGCCACAGTGGGCAGCGCGCTGGGGCCTCCGCAGGCACGCTTGGGGCGTGGGCTTGGGCCTTTGTGGGCTGCGTCGAGAGCTTCAGCGGGCAGCGCGCGGGGGCGTCTGCGGGCGCGCTTGCGGCCTGTGGGCTGGGGTCTCTGTGGGCGCGCTTGGGGCCTCTGAAGCTGAAGCCTCTGCGGGCTGCGTCCGTCGGGTGGCAGCGCGCTGGGCCCTCTGCGGGCGCGGTCGGGGCCTCTGGCGGACAGCGCGGGGGAGCCTCTGCGGGCGCGCCCGGCGCCTGTGCGGGCTGCGCCAGAGGGCCTGCGGGCACCATGCTACGGCCCCTGTGGGCTTACTCTGGGCCTCACTCAGTGCGTTAGTTGTGTCGGGGGCCTCGTTGGGCAGCGCGCCGGGACCTCTGCGGGCTGCGTCCGAAGGCATCAGTGGGCAGCGTGCTGGGGCCCCAGTGGGCGCGCATGGAGCTTTTGTGCGCTGTGTCCGAAGGCCTCAATGAGCAGCGTGCTGGGGCCTCTGTGGTTCGGAGGTCTCTCTGGCCAGGTCGCGCAGGAGTACTGAAAGGGGTGTCGAGCGGGAGCCCCTGTCGTCGCAGGTGGGCCTCCGTCGCCGAAGCTGACTCGCACTCCCGGGCCACAGGCTCTGGAAATACAGTTTGAAGTAGTAACGAACGGGAGCCCTTGTCGTCGCGGCTTGGTCCACACCAAATTGACGGAATGACGAGGGCGTCTCGAGCGACGGGAGAGAGAGAGAGAGAGACAGACAGACAGACAGACAGACACACAGACAAGACAAGACAGACAGACAGACAGACAGACAGACAGACAGACAGGCAGACAGACAGACAGACAGACAGACGAGCCAGGACCGCACCAACGGGGGAAGAGGGGCCAGGCCCTTCACCCCAGCACGGCCCTGCGGAACAGACTCGTTAGTCACACCTTTCGAGTGGTCCTGAAACCGCGCGGAGGGGGACCTCCTCGAGCCTCTGCGCTGGGGGCGGGGAAGAGCCCCCCACCCGAACCCCGCGTACTGGGGTGGTGGGCGGGACAATTAAACGCGCTTGCGCCCCTTCGCAAAGCGCCTCACTCGAGTGGAGGGGCGAAGTCACCTCTGACGCGCCCTGCGAGGAGAAGCGCGCTCGCGGTGCCTCCCGCCGAGCCGTCAGCCCCCCATGCCTTCGCCCGACCCAGCCCAAAGCCAAGGCGGAGGAGAAAGCGCCACTCTTGATTTCGGGTGCCTCTTTGGCAAGGGCCTCTGCGAATACATCTTGAGGAAGTATCGAACGAGAGCCCTTGTCGTCGAATTTGGGCCTCCACCAATTTGACTAAATCAGGAGAAAATTCCGAACGAACGCGCCGTTCCTGAGTTCGGGGGCCTTCCTGGCCAGGGGCTCTCGGAGAAAATCGTGAGGAAGTATCGGGCAGGAGCCCTTGTCGTCGTGGCTGGGCCCCCGCCAACTTGATTGAATTGCGAGGAAGTCTCGAGCGAGAGCGCCGTTCCTGAGTTCGGGGGCCTTCCTGGCCAGGGGCTCTCGGAGCAAACCGTGAGGACGTATCGAGAAAGAGCCGTTGTTGTCGCAGCGGGGCCTCCAAGGGCCCACTTTCACGGCCAAGCCAGTGCTCGAGCGGAGCCACTTTTCAAAGAATATAGAGCCAGCGTCGAGGCGAGAGCGTCCAGAAACGCTTCCGGACACCAGCAATAATTATTCTCTAGACAAGAATAGTAAAGTAGTAACAACAACAACAACAACAACAACAACAACAACAACAGCAGCAGCAGCAGCAACAACAACAACAAAACAACAACCACTACAACAACAACAACAACAACAACAACAACCACAACCACAACCACAACAACAACAGCAGCAACAACAACAACTATAACAAAAACAACTATAACAACAATAACAACAACAACAACAACAACAACAACAGCAGCAACAGCAACAACAACAACAACAACAACAATAACAACAACAACAACAACAACAGCAACAGCAGCAACAACAACGACAACAACAACAACAACAACAACAACATGAACAACAACAACATCAACAACAACAACAACAGCAACAACAAACAAATAAACAAATAAACAAACAACCAAACAAAGAAACAAACAAAGAAACAAACAAACAACCAAAACCACCAACAACAACAACAACAATCAGTATAAGATTGTTCGCTATTATTTGCCCGCGTGTCGTTCAAAACGAATTCCCCACACCCTCGCTACCCGCCCTTTTCGTCTTCGATCATACCCCCTTTGGGGGGATTATTTATCTTTGCGGGGGGCGGCGGGCTTAAACAGGCGGGCAAACCTGAACGGGCGGACAATCTTTCGTGGGCGTACAGCGTACATGTGCCCGCCATTGGAGTTAGTGTGGGCCCTGCAAAAAGAGGAGGGGGAGAACGAGGGAGAGTGGGAGGAGGGGAGGGGGAAGGGACGAAGGAAGAGGGAAAACGCCAGGAGAGAAGGAGCGAAGAGGGGGGCGGTGGATTAGAGGCAGAGAGAGAGAGAGAAAGAAAGAAAGAAAGAAAGACAGAGAGAGCGGTAGAGAAAGAGAGAGAGAGAGGGGAGAGAGAGAGAGAGAAAAAAAAAAAAAAAAAAAAAAAAAAAAAAATGAGGGAGGAGGCAGGAGAGTGGAGGGAGAAGGGAGGAGGGAGAGGAGGGCGATGGGATAGGGCATAATGGCATAAGGATGAGGGGAGACAGGAGGGAGAGAGAAGGGAGGAGAGGAGGGAGAGAGAGGAGGAGAGGAGGAGAGGAGGGAGGAGGGAGAGGGAGGAGGAGCAGGAAGGTAAGAGCGTGAACGTTCGAGGAAGTCCTAGGCGAAAGCGCCGTTCCTGAAGGAAGTCTGGGGCGGGAGCCCACGACGGGCGGGCGATCCCCTGACGGGCGGGTCGGGCAGGTGGGACATTCAAGCGGGATGCCTGAGAATGGCGAGAGCGCGATTACTAAGTAAATTGTAAGGGCGTCCTTGGCGCAGCGTGTTTCCTGAGCGTCGAAAGCGCGATTTCTGAATAAATTGCATGGAAGTCACAAGCGAGAGCGCAATTCCTGAATAAAATGTGAAAGGTTCTCTGGCGGGAGCGGGGTCTTGATTAAATTGCGAGGAAGTCTTGATTAAATTGCGAGGAAGTCTCGAGCGGGAGCGCCGTTCCTGAGTAAATTGTGCCGAAGTCTCAGATGGGAGCGGGGGTCCTGACTAAATTGCGAGGAAGTCACAGGCGGGAGCACCGATCCTGAGTAAATTGTGAGGAAGTCTTAGGAGCGGGGGTCTTGAGTAAATTTGGAGGAAGTCTCAGGCGGGAGCCGTTGTTGCTGTAGTCCGGGGGGCCAGGGGCCCAGTTTGAGCACCAAGACTTTCCCTGTCAAAAAACAGAGTGCGAGCGTCGAAGGGCACACACTTTTGCACCGGTGAGGGGGGATCAACCAAATGGGTTCTTCAGAAATGAAAATTCAACAACAACAACAACAACAACAACAACAACAACAACAACAACAACAACAACAACAACAACAACAACAACAACAACAATCACTTTACCCGAACGCTCAGTGTTCTCACCAGTGCCAGGGTTTTCATGCGACGCCAGCCAATACCCCCACTTTGTGGGGGGGCAGTGCAAGCTCTACCAAATATCCACACGACTCTTCGCCACCACCCACACCCAGCTTCCCGCCCTATGACGTTCGGACACTTCACTTCGTGGCCTGCGGACGACCGTGGCTACTACACTGGCGTGGAGTACACACCCACAGAAGTTGTTAAGCCTACGTTCGTACACCCACAGAAGTTGTTAAGCCTTGTTAACCCACAGAAGTTGTTAAGCCTTCCACAGAACATCTGTTGCATATGATGCGCGGTGCTAAAATTCTTAAGAAGCCCAATGGTTTTTGGAGATTTCGGCGTGCGCGCGCGAAGAAAAAACGAATGTGTCCCGCATGGTATTATTTGACAGGGATGATGGCCCTGGCAGGTGCGCAACCGTTGTCGCAGAAGTTCGAAAAAGTTGCTCGCAAAAGCCCGTTTGACAGAAATGTTTAAAAAGTGTTGGGTTTCCTACGAATCCGCAAGAGCGCGCGGGATGAGATTTTGACATTTTTTTGTTGAAAAACCATTGGTTTTTTGATGTTTTTATGTTAAAATCGCTCCGAACACTAAGCTTTTGGAAGGATTTCGTCTTGCGCGCGCGAATGTCCACTTTACCTTATTTTTTGCAAAGGATTCTTGAAATTTGATTATATTAGAACAAGAAATGTCATTTTATAGTGTTTTTTGCAAGGGAAAGCGGGGGGGAACAAAACAACCGGATCTTGATCACATCGAATTACCTGAGGCTTCCTCACGAAAATGATGAAAATGTAGCTGCGGCCTAGGCGGCGCAGGGGGGCCGTGCACCAGGGGCCCAACAATAATTATTCTTTAGAATTAATAATGTTCAACAACAACAAACAACAACAACAACAACAACAACGACGACGACGACGACGACGACGACGACGACGACGACGACGACGACGACGACGACGACAACAACAACAACAACAACAACAACAACAACAACAACAACAACAACAACAGCAGCAGCAGCAGCAGCAGTAAAAGCAGCAGCAGCAGCAGCAACGAAAACAACAACCCTCCCCCCATGGAGGGGAGAGGGGAAGAACAGGGGGAATATGTGCGACCCTTCTCCCAAGGCCTGGCCCTGTTGTCCATCCAGAGCAGGACTTGGCCGCCATCGCCCTCCGCAACGTCGACCCTGCAGGTCTCCTGGGAGCTGGCGTGGGGGGGGAAAGGAGGGAGGGTAAAGGGGGGGGGGGGGGGAAAGGGTTGAAGGGGCCTGGGACACACAAATAGATACACACAGATAAAAGGATTCCCCATATTTTCACATATTTTCAGTGTTTTCGTCTTCCCCCCCACTGCCCATATTTTTCCAAATTTTCCTGGGAATCGACGATGAATTGTGTCTGTGTGTTTCTTCCCCTCCTGAAGGGTGTCCGGACGTACAGCGTCTCGGACGAAAGAACAGCACGGAAATCTCTCGTTGCGTTCGGCCCTGGGGGCCCTCTCGCCAGGCCCCGGACCGTCGAAGAACAACTCGGGACGAGAAGCCGGCCCTGGGGAGGGGTCGGGTCTGGTGGGGTGCCCGTGATTTGGTTCTTGTTTACCAAAAAAAAAAAACTGGGAAAAAAAAACTGGGAGGGTGGGGAGCAGGGAACGAGGGAAGGGGGAGGGGAGGGGAGGGAGAGAACGAGAGGGGGTCGTTGTCCGAAACACGCGAAACTTCGAGCCGCACGCCAGAAGTCCCAGACCCGGAGACATCGGACCGTACCCATAAAACGTCGAACCGTGTCCCAGAAATCCCAACCCCAGAAGAGAGGGATGGGAACAGGGATGGTGAGAGAGATGAGGATGAGGGTGGGCACTCAGAGGAGAGAGAGAAGCGAGAGAGCGAGGGAAAGAGCGAGGTGGGTACGGAGATGAGGGGGGCAGAGGGCAGGAAAGGGTGATGTGCAGGGGAGGGGGGGGCAGAGGCGTCCTCCCGCTCTTCCGTCTCCACAGAAAAACTTCAATACATTCCGAACGCGCACACAGACAGACACCCTTGAATCAACACAATGAGCCTATCGAAGGGCGTAACCATGTGCAGGTGTGGGTACCGTCGTTGTGAGTAATGCCTTCGGGGCATTATGGGGCCACGAAGCTGCGTGCAGGGTGTGTCGAAATGAGGCGGGGCCGCCATGCGGAAGATGCCACTGGGAACTTCGAGCATCGCGAGGGACACGAAATGAAGGAGGAGGGCCAAGAACAGGGGCCTCTGAGACCTTCGGTGGAGCTCCCTAGGAGCCACGAAACATGTGAGGGGTTCGCCGAAATGGACGATAGAACCGCATGCGGGCGCTGCCACTGGAGCCTTAGGTGGAGCCCCTTATGGGGCCACGACACGTGTGAGGGGTTCGCCGACATGGACGGTGGAACCACGTGCGGGCGCTGCACCTGGGGCCTTCAGTGGAGCTCCTATGGGGCCACGAATTGTGTGAGGGGACCGCCGAAATGAACGGTGGAACCGCATGCGGGCGCTGCCCCCGGGGCCTTCGGTGGAGCTCCCTATGGAGCCATGAAGCGTGTGAGGGGTTCGCCGAAGTGGACGAGCCGCATGCTGGCGCTGCCACTGGGGCCTTCGGTGGAGCTCCCTATGAGGCCACCAAACATGTGACACCGCAGTGGGGGTGGAACTGCATGCGGGCGCTGCCCCTGGGGCCTTCAGTGGAGCTCCATATGGGGCCACGAAACGTGTGAAGGCTTGAACCGAAAGGGAGGGTGGAACTGCATGCGGGCGCTGTCACTAGTATGGGGCCACGAAACGTGAGGGGTCTGCCGAAATGGGGGTGGAACCGCATGCAAGCGCTGCCACTGGGGCCTTCGGTGGAACGATCTACGGGGCCGCGAAACGTGTAAGGGGTGTGCCGAAACAGTGACACGTGGAGGGTAAAGGCAGGGATGGGGTCTGGGATGGGAAGGGGAGGAGGGGGCAGCGGGAGGAGGGAGAACGCGGGGCGCCCTCTTTTCAGAACGACAACCCAACACCGAAGAATGGTTGGGAAAAAGCTAACTCCTTCTCCTGCTCCTCCTGCTCCTCCTGCTCCTCCTGCTCCTCCTGCTCCTGCTCCTGCTCCTCCTCCTCCTCCTCCTCCTCCTCATCCACCTTCTCTCCCTCCTGGCGTGAGTTGATTTCGCCAGCGGTCGGTTTCGCCGGCGGTCGATTTCTCCGGCGGTCGGTTTCGCGGGCGGACCGTTTCGCTAGCGGTCGGTTTCGCGGGCGGTTGGTTCCGCCAGCGATTGGCTCTGCCTGCTGTCGGCTGCATTGGCGGACTCCACTGGGCGGATCGGGCGGGCGGGACCTTGCGGGCGGGCCGGGTGGGCGGACCCTAAAAGAGCGGGTCTGCCGGGCGGCACAATGAAGCTGGCGGGCGAGCTTCCCAGCAGACGACCCGGTAGGCCTTGACGGGCGGGTCGGGCCAGCGAGCTCTAACAGGCGGGCTGGGCGGGCGGAACTTGACAAGCGAGTCGGGCGGGCGGGGCATCAAAGCGGGCGGGCAGGCTTGCCAACTGACGACCCTGCCGACCCTAACAGGCTGGTTGGAAGAAGGCCGACCACGGGAAAACCACGAAGACGGACCACGACGAACGACGACAAGGACGACGGCGAACAGACGACTGCAAAGCCGCCTGCGACGACGACGACGACGACGACGACGACGACGACAAACGAATGCGACCACGACGACGACAAACGAATGCTACCACGACGACGACGAACACCGACGTCGAAGCGGGCCGCTGGTGAAACCAGCTGGGCGAAACCGACTCGGCGAAACCGATCGCAGTGAAACCGGCCTCCGAAACCGAGCGCGGGTGAACACGAACGTGCGAAAACCGACCCCCCAGCCGCCGCGGCGAGAAGAGGGGCTGCCCGCGGCGATCTCCTGGAGCGGCGCGAAGCCGAACTTCTGCAGCAGGAGCGAGACCACCGGCTTGTCGATCCTGGGGTGCCGAGCCCGCCCTGCCAGACCTTGGCAATGTGGTATGGTCCCACAGGACGGAAGGTGAAGGAGGACTCTTCGGGAATCGTCGATCGCTGCCTGCGACACAGAGACAAGGAAAGCGAGAGAGAGAGAGAGTGAGAAAGCGGACAAAACATATCTATATATATATATATAGACTAGAACCATCGCGCGCGCGCTGCGCGCGCGCTCAAGTTCTAGCTAAGCTTGATAGGCTAACTCATGTAATCTCATTTGGGTCGCTTCTTGCGTCCAGGGACTCCCTCAAAGGCCCTGCGCAAACCTCGGAATCGTATAGAAAAGGACGTGCGGAAACACAGAATCATTAATCTCCTTTAGATATTCAACGATTTGGGGCCGTCAATTGTGGTCTGTTGCGGTCTGTTGTGCAAGAGTAGACTGGGGGCCAAACTTGAAAAAACAACAACAAAAATGAATTGTGGGATTACCATTTTTTTCAGTTCTTCGGCGCTGTTCGGCGCTGTTTTGTGTTTGTGCCTCGCGGGTTTTGTTAGCCGGGCCCCTCAGGGGTGTGGGATCTTCTGGACCCCCTGGGGGTTCTGGAGGCCTCCTGGAGGCCTGGAGAGCCGTCGGAAGAGTGTCTCGGGCTGCGCGGGAGCGTGGTGGGCCGTTCTTTACGTTCTGGGGGCTCCTCCTTAGGGTCGTCTTGGGCAGTCCTTGGGCGGTACTGGCCAGATGCCAGGGGATGTGTGGGATCTCCGAGTAGGAGTCCCACTTTGAAAAAAAAGGAAATTATTGGAATCCCCTTTTTTGTTTCAAATCCTCGATCTTTGAGGGTTGGATGCGGGACAACGTTAGAAGGCGAAAAACATTGGAAAAACCATTGGACATCAACGATTTTACCCTCTTTGGGCTCTCTCGGGACGGCTCTCGCAGCTCTCTTGGGCTGTTCTGGAAGCCTCGTCGGGGTCGTTTTGGGGCCTCTCAGGGATCGGGGATGTGTTTGGGGCCTCTAGGTGGTCCCCAGCGGTAGGAGGGCCACCCTCACAGACACCGCTTCCAGTCCAGTCCAGTCTAGGTGGTCCCGGAAGACTCTCGGAGGTCTCTGGAAGCCTCCCGCTCCCGCTCTTGGGCCCATTTCAGGCCTGTTGTGGGGTGGTCTGGGGCTGTCCTGGGCGCCTCTTCGGCAGTCTTGGAGCCTTCTTGGCCCGTCTTGGGGCCGTCCTGAGGGTCTCTTGGGGTGGTCTTGGGGCGGTCTTGGTGGCCTCTTCGGCGCTCTTGGACCGTTGGAAGCTCGAAAACGCGAGAAGCCAAGAACATGTTTTATATATATATATACATATACATATATATCTATATATATATATATATTTATTTATTTTTTTATAAAAAAAAAAAAAAAAAAAAAAAAAAAAAAAAAAAAAAAAAAAAAAAAAAAAAAAAAAAAAAAAAAAAAAAAAAAAAAAATGCACGACGATTTGGGCCTCTTCGGGCCGTCTGGGGACGCCTCTCGGACCTCTCTTGGGGTCTCTTGGAGGCCACCTGGGAGCCTCGAGAGCCGTCGGAAGGCTGACTTGGACTGCTTGGAAGCGTCTTGGACCATCCTTTCGCATTCTGGGGGCTCCTGGGGGGCGTCTTGGGCCCTCCTGAAGCACTGTGGAGGCTCCCCGGAAAGGCCGGGGGAGCGGTACTGGGAGCGTCCCCGAGATGTCACGGGGAGTTGTGGGACCCAGGCCCGGGGGGGCGGTATGTATACATATTATATTATATAAGCCAAGAGAACAAGACACGAACACACACACACACACACACACACACACACACACACACGTGGTAGAAAAAGGGCACGTTACAAGCATGGAAAATACACACACGCGCACTTTTAAGCCGGCGGCGCACAGGAGCCTCAGGCGCGGTCAGCAAATGAAGGTGCCAATTGCGAACGAACTTATTCGAACGCGCCGTGATGAAAGAATCCAGTCACGGCCATGTAAATTGGGGCTGAATCACCAAAAAACCAAAAAATGCAGCGGCCAAAAAACCCGCGAAACGAAAGCTCGACTCGCAAAGTTTGAAGCACAAACAGCAGTCTGGTGCCAATCAAGGCCTCCGGAGGCAACGAAAAAGGACTGCACGGCTGCCAGACCAGCCAGCGCAGTAACGGTGCAAACGGGCAGGGAAACTGCGCACAAAGCAACGCCGCCGACCTTGCAACGGACCAAAACCACTTAAGGCGACCGTGCAGCAAATGCAAGTGGTCACCGTGATAAAGATGGCCCCGCGGCCGCGGCTGACATAGCCTTGGACAATAAAAACAAAGCTGAACGCGGGCGACCGCGAGCAACAACCGCGAGACGGGGCGGCGCACATGGGTGGTAAACAGGCGCGAGCATCACCAACATACATTGCAGACGCCAGCATTAAAACAGGAACCCCAAACGCAACCAAAGCCGCGAAGAGCTACCATGAAGGCAGGTCGAAGCAGAAGCAGAAAATGGGAGACCACCTGGCACTAGAGAGACTGCACACGTCACCACAAAGGTCCCACCACTCCGATCAAGAGGCGACAAAGAAAAAAGGAGACGAGCAATGCGAACCCACCAACGGGATACGCCAACGCTCAGACTGAGACAGACCCCCGCGCTGGGGACGACCTGGAAAAAGAGAAGGGAAAGGGAGGGGAAAGCAGCAAAAGCAAGAGAAAGAGAGGAGCCCAAAGAGACGACGGCGAAGACCCCACGATACGGCCGACCCGCGACAGACGAACGACGGCGAGGCGAGCGACCCCCGTGACCAAAAGGAAGAAGGGGACCGACAAACCACCATGGGGAACGCTGCCGGCAAGGCAAGCTGACAGGAACAGCGAACTGCATCCCCAGGTGCGGACACGCACACCCAGGTGCGACGAAGGTAAGCAACAATTGAACTGTCCGCGGCAATGCCAGCCCGCACCGTGCACCCCATGCACACACACACACACACATAGTGACTCAATAGATATATGTGTGTAACATATACGTAGATACATATTTATATGTGCATATTCACCTACATACGTTTACATTACAAAAAATGTGCGTGTTAACATGGATGTGTTTGTGTATCTATACACATACACATACACAACTGCAATATACATACACATGTATGCATAGATTTACCTGTACATGTACATATACATATACACATACCTATACATATGCCTATAACTACTCGTAATCACTTCCACTTACAACTGCGTACACATATACATATACACATCCATATACATATACAAATACATGCATATATACATACACATGACATATGCATAAACATATATATGTGCATAAACATATACTTATAAACATACATATACATATATATACATATGCATATATATGCATGCAAATACATAGTCGTAAACAATGTATAATCAAAAGCGTATACATACACACATGCAACTCTCATAAATATATACATACATACACATCTATGCAGTCACATACATAAAACATAAATACATATACCTAGACATATACATATATATATACGTATATATACATACGCATATACATAGGCATACATCTATACATATATATATGTATGTAAATATAAAAGACTGCAGTGGCGCTTCGCGCCATGCACCTTGGTCCTTGAAGTTTGGTACGCAGGCAGAATAGCAGGAAGGTCAAGCACACAATTTAGCGATAACTCCTGGTTGCCGTTTCCGGCAACGCCGCTGTAATAATGTTTTTCGTTTTCCTTCCTCCATGCTTCGTTTTCACTATTTTCGCCATACCCTGCGCATTCTCCCCATCCTCCCCAGCTCTTTTTGCAGAGGCTCCTCCTTGGAGAGCCTCTAGGGGCCTCACACAAGTTGTTTCGGGCTCCTTCTGGAGGCCTCCTGGGCGTATTCTGGGGGCATCCGGGGGTTTCCTCGGGCCACCCTGCCTCCAACCGCGGTCTCCCTGAACGACCGAATCACGATTTGGAATTCTTCGGAGGGTGTCTTTGGGCCATCTTGGGCGGCCATGGGGCTCTCTGAGGGCCATCTTGGACCCGTGTTGTGCCGTTTTGGGGCTCTCTTGGACTGCCTGGAAGCCCTTTCGGATGATTGTGGGCCGATTTTGGATCCTCCCAGGCGGCTTCGGACGCCCAGAAGACCGCCGTCTTGGAGCGTCGGGAAGCCGAAAAGAGGAGAACCCCAAACATCACCAAAAACCAAAAAAAAATAAATGATTTGTGCCTCGGGGGGCCGTCTCGGGAGTGTTCTTGGAGGCCTCTTTGGGGCCGTCCTGGAGGCCTCTTGGGCCATCTTGAGGTCACGTCGGTCACTCTCGGAGCGCTCTTGTGCTGTCTTGGAGGTCTCTGGGACGTCTCCGACGACCCCCTGATCGACCTAGGTGAGCTGGGAAGGCTTGGCAAAACGCCCTGCGAGCCCCACACGACGACCCTTTTGGGCCGTCTGGGGCCCTCTTGGGTCTCTCTTGGGCTGTGTTGGGGCTCCGCGGGGGCGTCTGGGGCACTGTGAAGACGAAGCCAGCGAGTATGCCGAAAATGCACGTTTTACTATGGAAATGGGGCGATGTTTGCCTCTTGAAGGCCCTCTTGGGGCCCTCTTCGGCCATCTTCAAGCCATCTCGGGCCCTCTGGGGCCTCGCTGAGGCTGTCCTGGGGCTCAGTAGGGGGCCCTGGGAGCCCGGAAGTAATGTTCCCAGAGAGGCTTCCGGGAACATGATTTCGAACGGGGCCCTCTTGGGCCTCCCTGAGGCCGTCTTGGGGGCCTCCTGGGCCGGCTTCGGGGCCTCTTGGGCCGTCTTGAGGGGTTCCGTGAGCCCCACAGGCCTACCCTTTTGGGCCGTCTGGGGCCCTCTTGGGTCTCTCTTGGGCTGTGTTGGGGCTCCGTGGGGGCGTCTGGGGCACTGTGAAGACGAAGCCAGCGAGCATGCCGAAAATGCACGTTTTACAAGGGACATGGGCCGATGTTTGCCTCTTGAAGGCCCTCTTGGGGCCCTCACAGGCCCTCTTGGGGCGCTCTTGGGCGTCTTCGGGGCCTCTTCAGGCTTTCGTGACCATCTGTACGGCCCGCCGGGCCTGTCGTGGGCAAGTTGGAAGCGGCCCGTCTTTTCAATGTTTTTGGCTTCTCGCGTTTTCGAGATTCCAACTGTCCAAGAGCGCCGAAGAGCCTCCCAAGACCGCCCCAAGACCACCCAAGAGACCCTCAGGACGGTCCCAAGACGGGCCAAGAAAGCTCCCAAGACTGCCGAAGAGGCGCCCAGCACAGCCCCAGACCACCCCAGAACAGGCCCAAGATGGGCCCAAGAGCGGGAGCTGGAGGCTTCCAGAGACCTCCGAGAGGCCTCTGGGACCCTCCAGAGGCCCCCAACGCAACCCCGATCCTTGAGAGGCCCCAAAGAGACCCCGACGAGGCTCCAAGAACAGCCCAAGAGAGCTGCGAGAGCCGTCCCGAGAGAGCCCAAAGAGGGTAACATCGTTGATTTCCCATGGTTTTTCCTATGTTTTTCGCCTTCTCACGTTTTCCCGCTTCCAGCCCTCAAAGATCGAGGACTTGGGGGAAAAAAAGAAAGGAAATTCCAAGAATTTCTTTTTTCATCATACATATCCCCCTGACATCTGGCCGGTACAGCGCCTCCCGGCTTCTTAACGTTTTCGCGGAGTCTCCGAAGGCCCCAAAGAATCCGGGAATTGTGGATTTGGGTTAGATGCTCATCCATTCAGGACTCAGGGCAGTATGCCCAGGCCCGTGCATACTGTCCAGGCCATCCTGAGCGCGCGCTCAGGTTCTAGCCCAGGCCGGGGGGGGCGCTGGACGATTTTGGACAACGCTATCAAGCACAGGCGCGCGACGGCATCTGAGGAGCTTCTGGGGTGTTCCGCATGCTTCGTCAGCTGGCTGTTGGAGGCACCTCTTGGGTGCTTCTTGGGGGGGCGTCTGAGGGTCCCTTGGGGGCATCGGTTCTGCAATCTGAAGCTGTCATTGGCCGTCTTGGCTGCGTGGAGGCCCGACTTGAGGCCACCTGCGGCCAGATAAAGGCAATCCAGAAGCCTCCCAGGGGTCTCCTGGAAGCAGTTTGACGCATCGAGGGCACTCTTGGGCTATTTTAAAGCCTCTTGGACGTCTCCTCGGGGCCTTTGAGGCCCTCGGAAAGTTTTTGGGGTTCCTCGTCGGCTCACTTGGGGGCCTCTTGCAGCCTCCTGTGGGCCTTTTGGGGGGAACGCTCTGCTGTTGGGTCGCGCTCCCCTTCTTGGGCCTCTCTTGGAGCTCTTGGGGCCCTCTCGGGCCGTCTTGGGCGCCTCAAGCACCGTCTTGGGGCCCTCGCGGGCCGTCTTGGGGCCCTCTTGGAGGCCTCTTCCTCTATATGGGAGCGGTATTGGAAGCATCTTGGGCCGTCTTGGAGCATCTGGATGCCAAAAGGCCGAAAAATTGAAACCCGTCAAAGCCCAATCGTAAAACAATGAGTTGTGCCTCTTGGGGCCACCTTGGGAGATCTCTTGGAACCTCGTCGGCCCTCTTGGGAGCTTCTTGGGGGCCTCTTGGATCCGATTGGGGGCGTCCTGGGACCTCCCGAGAACCTCTCGGGGTAGAAAGCTCGGATTCTCGGTTCGTGTTTCCCTTCTTGGGCCTCTCTTGGGGCCGTCTTGGGGCCCTCTCGGGCCGTCTTGGGCGCCTCAGGCACCGCCTTGGGGCCCTCGTGGGCCGCCCAGGGCCCTCTTGGAAGCCTCTTCGGCTATCTTGGAGCTGTCTTGGAGGCCTCTTCCTCCTCCTCGTCCCCCTCCTCCTCCTCCCACTCCAGCTCTCTCTACTCCTGATCTTCCTCCTCCTCCTGCAGCGTGTTTCGGAAGGCTCCCGCCGGAACATGCTGTGCACAAGTGCTGTCACTGCTCCCGCCATCGTGCCCTGGGTGGTGGGTCAGAGGCCTCATGGGTGTTGGTTTGGATCTCGTTGTTGGCCTGTCGGGGACGTCGTGAAGGAAGTTTCGCAGCTTCTCGGTGGCCGTTTTGGGACCGTTGTGGGGCCTCCTGGGGGCTGTTTTGTGGCCTCTTTAGGCTTCGTTTGGGCCTCCTGGGTGCCTCTTGGGGGCCTCCTGGGGCCTCTTGGGGGCTCCTTGGGCCTCCTGGGGCACTCTTCAAGCGGGAGGGTCGAATTTTGGAGTCGTGGTCCCCCTCTTGGGCGCATCTTGGGGCCGTCTTGAGGCTCTGTTGGGCTGTCTTGGGCGACTCTGGGGCCGTCTTGGGGCCCTCTTGGGCCGTCTTGGGGCGCTCTTGGGGGCCTATTGAGCCGTCTTGGAACGTCGGACAGCCGAAAAGGCTGAAGGCCAAAATCGTTCGAAAATCTTCGTGAAATTGACGATTTCGGCCTCTTGAAGCGCTCTGGAGAGGCGTCTTGAAGCGTCGTGGAATGCCTTGGGGGGCCTCTCGGGCCGTCTTGGGCTTATCTTGGGCGTCCTGGAGCGGTCTTTCGGCGACTCGGGGCCCGCTTGGGCCGTCTTGGGAGCCTCTGGAGGCCCTCCTGGACTATTTTGGACCCGGCCGCCCCGTCCTCCCATGGGGGGTCGGAGGCGGCGGCCTCCGAGGCCCAGGACGCGGAAAACTTGTAAAAACATAGGGAAAATGAGCCCCGGTCCTCCCATGGAGGGTCGGGGCAGCTGTTTTCGGGCCCCGGGCCTGCTCCCCCGGGATATATCTATATATATATATATATATACATATACATGTATACATATATATATATATGTATACATACATATATATATATATACATACATACATACATACATACATACATACATACATACATACATACATACATACATACATACATACATGCATACATACATACATACATACATACATATCTGCATGCATGCATGCATGCATGCATGCATACATACATACATACATACATACATGCATGCATACATACATGCATACATGCATGCATGCATGCATGCATACCTGCATGTCTACATGCATACATACATACATACATACATACATACATACGTACGTACGTACGTACATACATTCATACATACATACATGCATATATACATACATACATACATACACAGATGCATATACATATACATATACATATACATACACAAATACCTATACATAGACATAGACATAGACATAGACATAGACATAGACATAGACATAGACATAGACATACACATAGACATAGACATACACATATATACAGATATCGGTGTGTTTATATATATATATTAAATAGAATATAATATATATATATATATATATATAAACAAAAAAAAAACAAAAAAAAACAAAAAAAAAAAAAAAAAAAAAAAAAAAAAAAAAAAAAAAAAAAAAAAAAAAAAAAAAAAAAAAAAAAAAAAAAAAAAAAAAAAAAAAAAAAAAAAAAAAAGGCGGCCGCGCGCGGCCAGCCCCTCCCCAGGGACGGAGGCGGCGGACGAGGTCGAGCAGGCTAAGGCCCTCGCCTTCGGTCATGGGAGGAGGGACCTTCCCCATCGTCATCGTACTCGTCCTCCTCGTCCTCGTCCCCGCCCTCGCTCGGGGAGGGGAACGACCTCGTCCTCGTCCTCTCCCTCCCATGAGGAGGAGGAGGAAGAGGCGGAGGAGGAGGACAAGGACAAGACAGACAAGGCAGTCTACGAACACTCCTCTGTAATAAGACGTTCCGGGGGGAAGCAACCAAAAGCTCTGGCCCAGGAGTGGCAGGAGAAACTCATTGCCTCGCCAGGGGTCTTGGATGCCTTCGTAAAAACTACGAGCGGCTAGTCAGTCCTGAATTACACCTCTCAGGAGCTGCATCGTTGAAGCGAAGAGAGGAGAAACGCCCCATGTCCCCTCCCGCCCAATCCTGTCTGTGGACGGCGCCACGTCCAGGCGGAAGCAGAGCTGCAGCCACGCGGCGACGAATCCAACGCTCCCCCTCGGAGAGGGGGGGCAGGAACCCGCCGCCTGCCAGGGCCTGGAGGAGGGACAACCCAGGTCCTCCTCCTGATGTTCCTCCCTTCGAGGACGGATCGAGCGGGCCAGAATCGATGTCGGATCGGATCGATCGGATCGAAGTAGACCCTGGGGGGCTGCCACGGGAGGGGGGGGGGCGGGGTCAGAGGGCGGGCAAGATGATAGACTCGCTCTGGACTGCGCCCAGGAGGAAGACATGCGAGTTCCAGCGGGGTCCGCTCCCTGACCCCAACCTCCTCCCGAGCCAGGCCCGCGGAGCTCTCCGAAAACTGGGAGCAAGCCCCCTTCCTCTCCCTCCACCGCCACAACGCCCCGTCGCACAGCCTCTCGCGCCAGCGGCGCCGGCCACGGCGGCGGCGACGACGACGACGGCGACCACGGGGGGGGGGCCGGCGTCGGCGTCAGAGGCGCAGGCCCGCGCGGACAGGGATGCGAGGCCGCGGCCCCGGAGCCCCTCGCTCACGTGCACGCCCCTTTTGGCGGGGGCCCGCGCCGTCGCCGTCGCGGCCCTCGTCGTGCCCCTCGTGCTGCTGCTGCGGCTGCAGCTGCTCGCCCTCCTGCTCGTCCTCCTTCGAACTTCGAATTGCGGACGGTGCTGGTGCTGCTCTTCCTCCTCCCCCGCCTCCTCGGAGGGGGGAAGGAGGTTGCGAGAGGAGAAGGGGGAGAGGAGGAGGGGAACGGCAAGGGAGGGAGAGAAAGAGCAGCAAGAGGGAGGGGGAGGGGGAGGGGCAGGGGCGAGGGGGGAAGGGCAAGCTAGGTGCGCTCGCGTCATATCTGACGTCCTACCCTTTTCCACCCATCGCTTACCATGGTGTAGATATCCTCTCGATGTGCATAGTCGGATGTCGTAGCAGGGCATAGCATTACATGGCATAGCATGCTTTTGAAGATCAACGCGTAGCCTGACATAGCATGGCGTGGCGACGCCCCGAAGTGGGGGGGGGGCTTCTGCGGCCCAGAAAATCAACGAATCGCCACCGAATGTGTAATCAAATCCGATGATCGTCTCGGAAGGGGGACGGGGGGGGGGGGGGGGCATTTTCTAGATTTTGGGGCCTACTTGAAGGACCGAAAAACCGTGCCGTGGCATGGCATTGGAAAATATGACGCCAGCGCTGCAGCGGGAGAACGATTCGGAACGAGCGGAAGCGCGGAAACGAGGTCAGCGCTGCAGCGGGAGCACGATTCGGAGGAAGTGTAGCCTGACATAGCATGGCGTGGCGACGCCCCAAAGTGGGGGGGCGGAAGGCTTCCGCGACCCAATACATTAGCCTGGCGGAAGACCCAACCATATGCAATTATGGGTAATTACTGCCGCTGTATGCGCCGCATCCGGTGGAGCTCCCTTTGGGACACGAAACGTGTGAAGGGTGTGCCAGAATGCGTGCGGTGGACGAATGTGAGCGCTGGCATCTGGGCCTTCGGTGGAGTTCCCTATGGAGCGACGAAACGAGCGAGGGGTGTCCCAACATGGGCGCGGAGGGCACATACGAGCAATAGCATGTGTGCCTTCAATGGGGCTCCCCATGGGGCCACAAAACGTGTGAGGGGTGTGCCAAAATTGGCGCGGTGGGCGCATGCGAGCGCTGACATCCGGGAATTCGGCGGGACTCCTTATGGGGCCAAGAAACGACCAAGGGATGTCCCAACATTGGCGCGGTGGGCGCATGCGAGCGCTGGCATGTGGGACTTCGGTGGGGGCCACAAAGCGTGTGAAGGGTGTGCCAAAATGGGTGCGGTGGGCGCATGCGAGCGCTGGCATCTGGGCCTTCGGTGGAGCTCCCTATGGGGCCACAAAACGTGTGAGGAGTGTGCTAAAATGGGTGCGGTGGGCGCATGCGAGCGCTGGCATTTGGGCCTTCGGTGGAGCTCCCTATGGGGCCACAAAACGTGTAAAGGGTGTACCACAATGGGCGCGGTGGGCGCACGCGAGCGCTGGCATCTGGGCCATCGGTGGAGCTCCATATGGTGCTGGAATGTGGGCCTTCGGTGGGGCTCCCGATGGGGCCACAAAACGTGTGAAAGGTGTGCCACAATGGGTGCGGTGGACGAATGCGAGCGCTGGCATCTGACACACCGGTGGAGCTCCCTACGGGGCCACAAAACGTGTGAAAGGTGTGCCAAAATGGGTGCGGTGGGCGCATGCGAGCGCTGGCATCTGGATCTTTTGGTGGAGCTCTTTATGGGGCCACAAAACGTGTGAAGGGTATACCACAACGGGCGCGGTGGGCGCATGCGAGCGCTGGCATCTGGGCCTTTTGGTGGAGCTCCCTACGGGGCCACAAAACGTGTGAATGATGTGCCACAATGGGCGCGGTGGGCGCATGCGAGCGCTGGCATCTGGGCCATTGGTGGAGCTCCATATGGCGCTGCACTGTGGGCCTTCGGTGGGGCTTCCGATGGGGCCACGAAACGTGTAAATGGTGTGCCAAAATGGGTGCTGTGGGCGCATGCGAGCGCTGGCATCTCGGCCTTTTGGTGGAGTTCCCTATGGGGCCACAAAACGTGCGAAGGGCGTGCCAAGATGGGCGCGGTGGGCGCATGCGAGCGCTGGCATTTGGGCCTTTTGGTGGAACTCTCTATGGGACAACGAAACGAGTGAGGGGTGTGCCAAGGTGGGGGGCGGAGAGGAGGAGGGGGAGGAGGGGGCATCGGGAGGAAGGAGTGAGACGCGGGGCGCCGTCTCTTCAAAACGAGGACCCAAGACCACAGGATGGTTGAGAAATCAACGAATCGGCACCGAAAGTGGAATCACTTCCGATGGTTTTTTCGAGGAGGCGCATTTTCTAGATTTTGGGGCCTACTTGGAAGGACGGAAGACCATGCCGTGGCGTGGCGCTGGAAATTCGCCGACCCTGTGTCGGCGTGTGTGAGAAGCTTGTCCATTCCCGTCGTTCGTTCGTCGTCGTCTCCGTCGTCTCCTGTCCCTGCGCCCACCCTTTCCCTGGTTCAGTCGTCTCCTGTCCCTGCGCTCCCCTTTTCCCTGGGCAAGTCCCCCCTCCCCTTTCCACCTCTTTCTTCCCTGGGCCCGTCGCCGCTCCCCCCCCCGTTTTCCCATGGCTTCCCCGTCAAAAACAATGCTGTCATTCACTCGACAGGAAGCCCCTTCCCTTTGATCCCTCCCCTGCCGGGGGGGGCCTGGAGGGGGTCTCGGGAGGGGGTCCCGCGTCAGATAATTACGGCCCCCCCCCAGGGGTCCCGAGACCCACGCAAAGATTCATGAGAGCCGAGGCAGTCTACCACGCCCCAGCCCCAGCCCGGGCCCCAGTCCAGCTCCAGCCCCGGCTCCGCTTCTGGCCACGGCCTCGGCCTCGGCCAATCCCGGCCCCGGCCCCGGCCCAAGTCCCGGCCCCGGCCCAGGCCCTGGCCCTTGTCCCGGCCGGCCCCGGCTACCACCCCGCCGGCCCTGGCCCCGGACCCAATGCCGGCCTCGGCCCCGGCCCTGGCCCCGGCCCTGGCCCCGGCCCTGGCCCCAGCCCTGGCCCTGGCTGGCTCCCGGCCTGCTCCAGCCCCAGCCCTGGCCCAGCTGGGTCCCAACCACAGCGCCCTCCAAATCTAACTACATCTCCGTGGCCTCCCAGATGCCCAAGATGCCAGACCTAGCTTCAAAACAGCGAACGAAGCCTGGAAGTCGACCCAGGAGGGCTCCAAGACGCCCCGAATGGTCCTGATAGGCAACTGGCGTCGTCGTCAACATCGTCAACATCCTCGCCAGTTCTCCTCCTCATGATCGCCACGCTCTACTCGCCCTTGCCCTTCCTTCGTGTCCCCCCCGCGACACTGCTCGCCTCACTTTCCTCCTATTCATTCCCCCCGTGCTCCTACTTCTCCTCATCCGCCTCTTCCTCCTGTCCCCCTCTTCATCTTCCTCCCCATGCTCCGCGCCCTCCTCCCCAACCTCAGGATCGGCGGCACCGGCCGTAAGGCCTTCGCAATAATGACGCCAGCGCTGCAGCGGGAGAACCATTCGGAAGGAGCGGAAGCGCGGAAATGAGGCCAGCGCTGCAGCGGGAACGCGGAACGAGCGGTAGTCCGAAAATGAGGCCAGCGCTTCAGCGAGAGCAGCATTTTGAAAGGAAAAACATGTTTGAGGCCGAATATTTCCAGGACGTCACCAGGGGAGAGAGGAGAGTGGCATTCATATGGTTTAATCGTTGAAGGGGATGGTAACTTGGGGAGAACAGGGGGGGGGGGCGGACGGGGGGTGGAACGGAGATCGGGGTGGGAAAAAGAGCGCGGGAGGGGGGCGGGCGGGCGCGGGAGGAGAGCAGAAGGTGGTGCGGGACAGGAAAACGGGGGGGGAGGACCATGTGGGATCCAGGAGGGGCGGCGGGATGTGGTAACAAGGGGGGGGGGAATCTGAGAGAGGGGGTGGGAAAATGGATCGGGATGCGTGAAGGGATTGAAGCAGGGGGGCCAGGCGGAAAGAGGGCGAGCACACACGGGCGTGCGGGGGAGGCACTCGGGCGGGCCCGGGGCGGCGTCCCCGAGGCGGGGGGAGAGGGGGGGGGCATCTCCGCGCGGTCGGCCTGAAGATCCGCACCGCGCCCCGCGAGCGGGGCGCCGACGACGGGCGCGCGGAGGGAGGCGGCCCGCCCTCGAGAGCTGGAGGCACACGGCGTGGGGCCCACGGGGGCCGCCCGGGGAGGGCCAGGGACGGCTCCAGAAGGGCCACAAGACGGCCGAAGGTGGCGTCCAACCCAGACATCCGACGCCTTGGCTTCATTTTTTTATACGGGGTACCCACGAATCCCGCCCCTTTCCCCGGGGCCAGTCCTTCATCCCGAATCGTTGTTTGACAGTCCCAGTGCCCGATGAGGGCCCCAGAGGCCGATAGCGCCTGCTTGCCCCCGCTCTCCTGCCCCCCCTTTCTGCTCCATCCTCCGCTCTCCCCCCTCCGTTTTTCCCCCTCCCCTCCTCCTCTTCCTCCTCCCCTCCTCCTCCTCCTCCTCCTCCTCCTCCTCCTCCTCCTCCTCCTCCTTCTCCTGCTCCTCCTCCGCCTCCGCCTCCTGCTCCCCTTCCTCCGCCTCCTCCTCCTCTTCCTCCTCCTCCCCCTCCTTGCTCGCCTCGTCGTCCTTTGTCTTGGACCTTTGAGCCGAGTACAACAAATTGGGGCCAACATTCGCATTCCCGAGGGTGCCTCTTGGCCTTATGTAGGGCCCCTTATCCTTTCAAAGAATAGAATCCTCCTCCTCCTCCTCCTCCTCCTCCTCCTCCTCCTTGCTCGCCTCGTCGTCCTATGTCTTGGACCTTTGAGCCGAGTACAACAAATTGGGGCCAACATTCGCATTCCCGAGGGTGCCTCTTGGCCTTACGTAGGGTCCCTTATCCTTTTAAAAGAACTCCTCCCTGCCGCACCTCAAGACGTGTCGGTAGGGCGGGCCGGGCGTTGCGCCCGAAACCTCCTCACTAATTACGGTCCTGACGCATGCATGTTAACCAGTGTGGACCCCCAAAGCATGTGCTCTAGCAT